AATGTTTCTGCAAACTCTTCCTTGGCCTTCAAACATAAGAGCACTAGGAATTGGCTCAACACTGTGAGGAGTTTTGTACAAACCTACATTTGGGGCAGACACGCTACACTAAGGATGCCATTTTGATTTCTCGTTTTTGCCTGTGAGGCCACAGAGGCAGCTGGAGCATCTCTCTTCTGTTGAACCTCTTCTTTCTTCCCAGCCCATCTCCTCCTGAAGGTGGTGAGCATGGGCTCCTGCAACTGCTTGCTCAGAGCTGTCAACACCCGTAATCTACCGCTCTCGGGCTTCCTGGCTGGACTGACAGGACCTGGCCATGGTCCAAGCAGGCGATGTCTCCAGACCCTTTCTGTCTCCAAGACGGGAGCAGTGAACTTTGTTCCAGTTTTTTTCCTGGCCCTCCTCCAAAAGGAGTCAGAAGTTATCTTTTTGAATTGCTTGCAGGTGAGAGGATTGAAGAATTTCAAATGCATTTGAAAATAAGGCTACAACCAACAGTATTATAATGTGGCAAATGCAGTTTCTTGCTGTGAGGCCTGAGATAAGAACACTTTTAGCTTTTTAAAGGGTAATTCTTATTTAACATGCTTAAACCTATCCATTGTGGCCAAAGCTGAAGGTATATTCTGACAATTTTGACTTATGATGATCCTGTAATGGACTTGTTATTTCCAATGCTAAGGGTGAATCTGTAGTTTCATCTGCAATTGGAAACATGAACTCATGGGGACCAGGGTGGGTGGGAGGGACACAACTTCACCGGCCTGGGACAGTTCATGAACTTCTGTGAAATGTGCCTTATTGTCTATTTGTCATTGCCCCTGGCAAAGAAGCACCAGCTTAATATCCAACTTTCCTGGTAAACCAGTAGATGAGAGAAAATTTGCAAATCAAGAGCCTCCTTGTACAAGTAAGATAGTCAATTTAGATAGCTAATTAACCAGTTAAGTCACTGACTAGATCTGATTAATTAGTAGTTAATGGTAAGGTACTGTCAGATTAAATTGATCTCTAGTAACCCAAAGGACAATTATGAGCTTATAATCACTGTGATTATTTTTTCCCCTGCATTGTTGCAAGAATCCCAGTTAGAGGTAGTGTGATAATTTAGGACTGTTATGTAAGGCTGTCTCCTTGCCACAGGACAGTGCCTCAAGCGCTGCTATAATTTGGGGCAATGCTATTCCTAATGTCGGGCAAGTGAGATATGTGATTAGAGTAATCATTGATTTATTTTTTTTAGGGAAATTTTTGTAGCACTATCAGTAGTTTCATGTCGCCTGTCAATTCATTGCTCATTGAATTGCAGATTGTTGCAGGCAGACAAATAAACAGAAAGCAAACAGAGAGGTTAAAGCTGGTGACCAGTGTGAGAAATGTGAAAGGAAGGAAGGCAAAAAACCTTATTTTCCAGGTTGTCTTATAGCCCTGACTTGGTGCTTGGGAAAGCAGAATTTTTGAGTAGTCTGTGTCAATGCCATCTGAACAGGAACTGAGCGACACACATTTTGGGTGTTTCTGCAACACAAATAGTTTGAGTCATATTACATATCTCAAATATTTTGCTCTGAAGCAGAAAGGCATATGCCCACTCTGGATGTCATCTGAGGGATGCCTGGAAGGCATGTCTGGCAGGCATATACCAATATCATTGCAGATTGACATACTCACTGTAGCTTGTAACTGGTAAGACACAGTGTCAGGCCTTGTGGATTTTAACTTCCCCAAGAGGACTATTACTAATGAATTAAGATTGGTTTTTTTAAATGCAATTAGAGTCATTGGAACATCAGTGATTTTTTTCCCTCTTTTTCTGCCCTTAACATTGCCTCTGATCTTTAACAGAGATATTTCTATTTATTTCAGAAGAGATGATGTAGTCAAATGGAAATGATTGCAAGATATTTCTGATAAGTCACTTGCTGTGTTTCCACATTTGTTGCATCAGCTATTACTCATGTACCTATTTGTTTATTACTCTTCTTGAAAGAGCAGGAGTAGTGAAGTGGGACTAATAAAGCTGTGCAAACTGATACTTGTATTTCAGTTGTTCAATCAAAATAAAAAACTCAAAAACTTGAAATAGAAATCTTTTAGCTGAAAACACTTTTGGCATATTATGTTCAATTCAGACTGAAATTAAATGAGTTGTTTTGGGCACCTCTAAGCTATGCTAAAGAAATGTAGGTATGGTTTACAAACTGATGATAGTGTAAATCCATCCCCTTCGCTTTTATCCAGTAGATCCATTACCTTTTATTCTCCAGGAAGTGAGAGATACAGGTTTGTTTTCTCCTTTATAAAGCCACTTGAAGTGAGAGAGGTTTCACTGTGCCTTGTTTTATTTTCTGTCTTTGGTTTGTTCCACTTTGCAATTTTAGTGAGTTGAACACCCATTACAGCAAACTGCTGTCCTGGTGCAGGTTTTCCATGTGGGTGCCTTAACCTGTAAGCTGGAGGGTTTCCCTCTCCTTACGCTCCTAGATCTTATTTCCTTGCAAATGGAGAGGCTTAGGAAGAAGGCTGGAATTCCACATCCTCACCTTGGTGTCTAGGGTACACCTTTGAATTTGAAGTTGGGTCTCACCCCCAATGTCCACTTAATTAAGGACAAGGATACACGCCTGGATGTCTCCAGCCTGTAATACAGTACTCTGAGCCAAGTCTTCTGTTGCAGCTGTTCCAGTTAGGAACTGGGACACCTCCTGGTGGTATGAACTCAAGTGTTGCCTCCTACTAACCTCTCGCTGGCTTGCCAAGCTCCTGAGCTCAGCTGTAGCTTTCATGGGCTGGGAAGCTTTTCTGCCAGCAAAACCTCCATCCCTGGGCATGCTCCTGGGCTGCCATGGTGTGACCACCTACCATCACACAGAGGACACGTGAGTGGCACAGCTCAGCCAGGGACACCAACTGCAGTGTCTGGGATGGGAATACTGGGCAGTGGGGGGCTATAGTTCCCAGAGACTGCAGCCTCATGCTAAACCATCCAGCAAGGTGGGTATAGACTAGCTCTACTTGAATGACCACGTCTATCCAGCTCCTTCTCCTAATTCACCTGTCTGTTTAGAGAGGATAGATGATTTTCCCAAAATGCACCTGCAGAAAAATGAAAAGAAACACTTACCTTACTGAAGTGCAGAGATAAACAGGTTATGCCCTTCTGAAATGTTGGTTTTGCAACAGTTGAGTACACTTGAGCAGACATAAAAATCCTAATGCTATTTCACAGTGTAACTAAGTAACTAATCTCACTCAGGTTTGGTTTACTTAAGAGAAATAAACTCAGGTTATGTATGTGGGAGTTATTTCTGCGGTGATTTTTTTTTTTTTTAATACCTTTCATTGCATGGGGAATAATAAATTATACTCTTAAATAGAATGAGACAGAAGTCAGTCCTGCTTTTGCAAATTGGAAGTTGGCTCAAAGATTGCTTATCCAGTGTCTGGAAACTAAACAAAAGTTTGAGTTCAAGTCACTGAGAAGGTTCTGCTGAAATCCATTTCAAGTCCTTTGGCACAAAGCATGCAGGCGGAAGCATTTCCTTGCCAGTTAACTAACGATTCTCCTCTTGCCCCTGGTACTGTGGCTGATTCAAATCTGTGCAGTTCCTATAATTACACCCCACCCTCTCCGAACCCAAAGCACACATGAAATGAAGAAATGACAGGAAAAAGGCCACATGTCACAATAATTACTATAATTTGGTCTGTTATTCCCTTGTTTTCTGGCTCGGTATTCGAGGCTTGATGTTAATTTTCTTGCATAACTAAAGGTGTTTCCTCTGCTTGTTTATACTAGCTATGATTTCTAAACATCCTTGAAATTATTTGCCATAACATCTCTCCTCATCATGATATTACTTCAATTTGAGCCACTTGTAGATAGTGCTTCTTTCTATTTTTGAACAGAAACAGTTGGGAGCCAGAAAAATATGTATTTGTTTGCCTTTCTATTTTTGCTTTGAAATTGCTGGAAGCCAGTAGGTGGGTTTTTATTTTCTGTTTTAAGATTTTATTTTCAAACTAAAACAAATATTATGTATGAGGATTGGCACAAATCTTAAATTACTGGTTTTAGTAACAGAAAAAAGTTCTTGTCAGAAATTCTTCTGAAGTGTGGCTCTATTTCTGGAAATCCTTTCCTGCTCACTTCAACAGAGTTTTGTATCCTACCCATTTCACTGAATGATTCTTTCATATACAGAGGGGTGTATTATAGAAACTCTGCTGGCAGTAAAAGGTTGGTATGTTTTCTTTTGTCTTGTACACTGCACTGATTCTTTCATCATCCAGCCAAAGGAAAATCACGTAAGGAGTTGACTATTCATTGCGTATACCAAATGAAGTCACCTGAACTCTCACCTAAATGGATAACTGCTGACTTTGTGTATCTTTGGAAAATAAACCCTGGCATCTGCTGTTGGGCTGCACATATTTTGTTATCCAAAAGGAAAAACTGCAATTCATTATAGAATCTCCAGTATGAGATTCCAATCTGCTCAGAACAGTGGGCATATTAGCTAATTAGAATTGTCAGAAAACACTGGGAATAGCTTGGCCAAATTTAAATGAAAATCTTATATATTTATTTCAAACTGAAACCCAAACCAAACAAAAAGCCCCATCCCCAGTTTTACTTATTTCTTCTCTATTCATTTCCTAACTCACATTCCCCACTGCCTGACATCCCCCCACCCCACCTCCCAAACTCCAAACCACATCCATGAGTTTTACTCTGTTTGCTTTTTACAAAAGCTTGGACAGCTTTGAATTAGTGTTCTTTAGCACTGGATGACTTCTACATTGGTAAAATCACATGTAACATAGCATTATCTTTGGAAAAGATCTTTTTTGAGGGGGTGGGTAGAGTAGGAGGTGTAGAGTTGGGTCAAAAAGGTAAAGGTCAAAAGTGTATTAACATATTTTTTTAACTGTCAAGACTTACATTATATGAAAATACAATACAGAACTTAAGTAAACAAAACTTTCTCTTTTTACAGCTTTCTCACTGAACTTTGAAACCATTCATGGAAGCTGATGGCAACGCTCTTGTAAGTATAATTGCAGTTATGCCAGAGTTATTGATCAGCTGAAGAGGTATGCTGAGGTTGTGTCCTTGTTATAATAGACCGTGGACAACATCAACATCTAAACAAGATGTTTCCTGTGGGCTAGGCCAGGGCTGCTGCAGTTCTGCTGTAAGGGTGAAATGAAGTCTTTTGTATGGTCTTGATGCCACTTCCAAGTCCTACCCCTCAACAGATGAGAACACAGTAATTTAGGATGCATGAGTTTAGCAAAGGCTTTTCTTAGCCACTCATTTGTCTAACCCTTGAGAAGTTTAAGGAAAATAGTCTCTGTAGAAGATGAACTATTGATCACAGCTGCCTTTGGTGCCTTCTTAGACTCATGCAATGTGACATGAGACATGAAGTCTGATCTTCAGTATTGGACCAATGCCACTGCTTTTGCTTGTAGAACATTTTTTTTCTTTCCCCCTAACAGCCTCATAACTCATTTTGCCCCATTTTTTTCTCCTGGGGAGTCTGCAGGACTCATTCACTAGGCAGAAGTATCCCCTGGGGTGATACTCAGCTGCTCCTGGCATCCCCAAGGGGATGCTGCCCACCCTAGTTTTGTTCCCAGTGATGGTTGCTCAAGGCCATACATTTGGAAGAGAGGCTGGAAACATGTAGCCACCATGATATATATTTGCAAATCCTTGCTGTCAGGCAAGGACAGGGTAGGGGAGCCACAAGGGTGTGGGTGTGAGGAAACTCCAGCAACTGCTAATGAGTGTGATTAGCTGCCCTTGACCCAGGGTGCCTAGAACCTTTGACACAACTGCTTCTGATTAGGGACCGTCAAGCACCTCAAGAAGGACCCATCAGCAGGCCCAGCAGTTTGTGCAGCAGAGTGTGGAGTGAAGTAAGGGGGCCTTGGCTGATATTGTGCTGCTGTCTTAGGTGTGGTGGAAACAGGGCAGTTTCCCCAACAGATGTGGGAGCAGCTGTGCCTGCTTGGGCAGAGGATTCCACACAGACTGAGCTTCAGATGGCGGATGCAGACCTCCAAGTCTTAGGCTACAGGAAATGCCTGAGACTTCTCTTTGAGGCCAGGAGAGATGGCCCTCTGCCCTGCAGGAGGTGTGCCATCTTGGAGGAGCTGTGCTGCCAAGTGGAGGAGATACAGGAGAAAGTGAGCAGGCTGTGTAGCATCATGAGAGGGGGATAGGTAGGGTCTTCTCTGACCCTATCAGGTGACCCTATCTCTGACAACAGCTTGAAGAGCCTCAGTCTTCACCCGCAATCGAGCAGTAGGGCAGTGTGTGTGTCTAGCCCCACTATCAAAGTAAGCAAAACCTCTGGAGAAGGGAAGGATGGAAGCTGATGAATTCTAGTACCAAGAGGAAGGCTCCTGCCCTAAGAACTTGCAGCTGCAAACTAGACTGACTGACCTCAAAATTGCCACTAGAAGAGCCAGATGTGCCTACTAGCAAAGGACCTGGTTCATCTAACTGTAAATGATGTAAGGGTATCAGGAAGAAAAGGCGAGTCATTGTAGTGAGAAATTCCCTGCTGCAGGGGGCAGAGGCACCCATCTGTAGGCCCTACCAACCATCTAGAGCAGTTTGCTGCCTGGCAGGGGCCAGGATATTGTGGAGGGACTGCCAAAGCTTGTCCAACCCTCTGACTTCTACCCCCTGCTGTTATTCCATGTGAGCACAAATCGTACAGTTGAGGTCGCCTAGCTGGAAAGCAGCTTTGCAGAAAAGGACTTGGGAGTCTTGGTGGGCATCAAGTTGAACATGAGCCAGCAACGTGTCCTTGCTGCAAGGAAGGCAAATGGTATCCTTAGCTGCCCTACACAAAGTATTACCAGTAGGTCAAGGGAGGTGATCTTTCCCCGTTATTCAGTACTGGTAAGGCTACTGCTCCTAGATCTTATTTCCTTGCAAATGGAGAGGCTTAGGAAGAAGGCTGGAATTCCACATCCTCACCTTGGTGTCTAGGGTACACCTTTGAATTTGAAGTTGGGTCTCACCCCCAATGTCCACTTAATTAAGGACAAGGATACACGCCTGGATGTCTCCAGCCTGTAATACAGTACTCTGAGCCAAGTCTTCTGTTGCAGCTGTTCCAGTTAGGAACTGGGACACCTCCTGGTGGTATGAACTCAAGTGTTGCCTCCTACTAACCTCTCGCTGGCTTGCCAAGCTCCTGAGCTCAGCTGTAGCTTTCATGGGCTGGGAAGCTTTTCTGCCAGCAAAACCTCCATCCCTGGGCATGCTCCTGGGCTGCCATGGTGTGACCACCTACCATCACACAGAGGACACGTGAGTGGCACAGCTCAGCCAGGGACACCAACTGCAGTGTCTGGGATGGGAATACTGGGCAGTGGGGGGCTATAGTTCCCAGAGACTGCAGCCTCATGCTAAACCATCCAGCAAGGTGGGTATAGACTAGCTCTACTTGAATGACCACGTCTATCCAGCTCCTTCTCCTAATTCACCTGTCTGTTTAGAGAGGATAGATGATTTTCCCAAAATGCACCTGCAGAAAAATGAAAAGAAACACTTACCTTACTGAAGTGCAGAGATAAACAGGTTATGCCCTTCTGAAATGTTGGTTTTGCAACAGTTGAGTACACTTGAGCAGACATAAAAATCCTAATGCTATTTCACAGTGTAACTAAGTAACTAATCTCACTCAGGTTTGGTTTACTTAAGAGAAATAAACTCAGGTTATGTATGTGGGAGTTATTTCTGCGGTGATTTTTTTTTTTTTTAATACCTTTCATTGCATGGGGAATAATAAATTATACTCTTAAATAGAATGAGACAGAAGTCAGTCCTGCTTTTGCAAATTGGAAGTTGGCTCAAAGATTGCTTATCCAGTGTCTGGAAACTAAACAAAAGTTTGAGTTCAAGTCACTGAGAAGGTTCTGCTGAAATCCATTTCAAGTCCTTTGGCACAAAGCATGCAGGCGGAAGCATTTCCTTGCCAGTTAACTAACGATTCTCCTCTTGCCCCTGGTACTGTGGCTGATTCAAATCTGTGCAGTTCCTATAATTACACCCCACCCTCTCCGAACCCAAAGCACACATGAAATGAAGAAATGACAGGAAAAAGGCCACATGTCACAATAATTACTATAATTTGGTCTGTTATTCCCTTGTTTTCTGGCTCGGTATTCGAGGCTTGATGTTAATTTTCTTGCATAACTAAAGGTGTTTCCTCTGCTTGTTTATACTAGCTATGATTTCTAAACATCCTTGAAATTATTTGCCATAACATCTCTCCTCATCATGATATTACTTCAATTTGAGCCACTTGTAGATAGTGCTTCTTTCTATTTTTGAACAGAAACAGTTGGGAGCCAGAAAAATATGTATTTGTTTGCCTTTCTATTTTTGCTTTGAAATTGCTGGAAGCCAGTAGGTGGGTTTTTATTTTCTGTTTTAAGATTTTATTTTCAAACTAAAACAAATATTATGTATGAGGATTGGCACAAATCTTAAATTACTGGTTTTAGTAACAGAAAAAAGTTCTTGTCAGAAATTCTTCTGAAGTGTGGCTCTATTTCTGGAAATCCTTTCCTGCTCACTTCAACAGAGTTTTGTATCCTACCCATTTCACTGAATGATTCTTTCATATACAGAGGGGTGTATTATAGAAACTCTGCTGGCAGTAAAAGGTTGGTATGTTTTCTTTTGTCTTGTACACTGCACTGATTCTTTCATCATCCAGCCAAAGGAAAATCACGTAAGGAGTTGACTATTCATTGCGTATACCAAATGAAGTCACCTGAACTCTCACCTAAATGGATAACTGCTGACTTTGTGTATCTTTGGAAAATAAACCCTGGCATCTGCTGTTGGGCTGCACATATTTTGTTATCCAAAAGGAAAAACTGCAATTCATTATAGAATCTCCAGTATGAGATTCCAATCTGCTCAGAACAGTGGGCATATTAGCTAATTAGAATTGTCAGAAAACACTGGGAATAGCTTGGCCAAATTTAAATGAAAATCTTATATATTTATTTCAAACTGAAACCCAAACCAAACAAAAAGCCCCATCCCCAGTTTTACTTATTTCTTCTCTATTCATTTCCTAACTCACATTCCCCACTGCCTGACATCCCCCCACCCCACCTCCCAAACTCCAAACCACATCCATGAGTTTTACTCTGTTTGCTTTTTACAAAAGCTTGGACAGCTTTGAATTAGTGTTCTTTAGCACTGGATGACTTCTACATTGGTAAAATCACATGTAACATAGCATTATCTTTGGAAAAGATCTTTTTTGAGGGGGTGGGTAGAGTAGGAGGTGTAGAGTTGGGTCAAAAAGGTAAAGGTCAAAAGTGTATTAACATATTTTTTTAACTGTCAAGACTTACATTATATGAAAATACAATACAGAACTTAAGTAAACAAAACTTTCTCTTTTTACAGCTTTCTCACTGAACTTTGAAACCATTCATGGAAGCTGATGGCAACGCTCTTGTAAGTATAATTGCAGTTATGCCAGAGTTATTGATCAGCTGAAGAGGTATGCTGAGGTTGTGTCCTTGTTATAATAGACCGTGGACAACATCAACATCTAAACAAGATGTTTCCTGTGGGCTAGGCCAGGGCTGCTGCAGTTCTGCTGTAAGGGTGAAATGAAGTCTTTTGTATGGTCTTGATGCCACTTCCAAGTCCTACCCCTCAACAGATGAGAACACAGTAATTTAGGATGCATGAGTTTAGCAAAGGCTTTTCTTAGCCACTCATTTGTCTAACCCTTGAGAAGTTTAAGGAAAATAGTCTCTGTAGAAGATGAACTATTGATCACAGCTGCCTTTGGTGCCTTCTTAGACTCATGCAATGTGACATGAGACATGAAGTCTGATCTTCAGTATTGGACCAATGCCACTGCTTTTGCTTGTAGAACATTTTTTTTCTTTCCCCCTAACAGCCTCATAACTCATTTTGCCCCATTTTTTTCTCCTGGGGAGTCTGCAGGACTCATTCACTAGGCAGAAGTATCCCCTGGGGTGATACTCA